TTCTTAATTAATAATAATAATAATAATAATAATAATAATAATAATAATAATAATACCTGTATAATATTATTTTTATTATTACTAATAAAAATATATTATTATAATAATTTATGACTATTAACTCATATTAGCATAAAGTAACTCACTTTAACCATTCAAAATTAAATATTAGTCATTTTACTATAAAACAAACTATACTCATTAAAAAAAACTATGTTTAGTATATCCATAGTTTAACAACTATCATAAGTTTGAAAATTTTATTATAAAAATAAACCATAATTAACTATATTTATAATACTCGAAAAAAGAAAAAAAATAAATGGTAAAGAAAAAAATCATTTGGTACAAATACCATTCATAAGAATAATATTAAATTTGACATAATTTACATTTATCAATTCAAATTAAATTGTTTTGAGTTGTTTTACAATTTTAAAATAAACTATTGGACAACAAATTTGATACATTTAATGTATATATATATTGTTTAAATTTTAATCCAAAATTCTATTATGCCTAAACAAATATATATTATTTTATTTGGTTGAATCATTTTTAGTTGTTAGTATGAAGTTACATGTTTACACGTTATAATGATTAGTTCAAATTGTTTAATATTTCTAATAAAAATGTAAAAGTAAAAAGTAATATTTTTTCAATTGTTTTTATTAAATTATTGACAAGTAACAATTAAATTAGTCTTTTTTTACTTTCATAATTGTTGTAATGTTAAATAATTACAATGGTTTTATTTTGTGTGTTGTAAGATGATAAATATATTATGATAAGCAAATAAAAATAAAATAATAAATAACACTTGTATATAATTGTTAACAAAAATTGTTGTATAATATTTGTCGATAATGACGCAATGACAAAATTAAAATGGCGTATCTTTCATGTTAACAACGATATAATTATTGAACACAATAAGCAATTTTTTAAATTACTTAATCGATTTGTTTTTATTTTTTTATTTATGAAAACTTTAATTTAATAACAAAAATATTTTAAGTAAGTCAAAATGTTATTTATTTTTGTTTTTTGAACACAATCCAAATATAAATTATTTTGATCAATGGCAAATTTGCCTAAATGGTCAAGTTTTTGATTAAGTGAATAATTATATAGTAATTTAACTAAAAACTATATTTTATTATTATAAAGAAATTTTAATTTATTATATTATTAACTATTAAAATAGTAAATTATAATTTAAGTGAGTTACTTTTATAAAAGTGAGTCAAAAAGCGAAGTAGTGAGTCATTTTTTGACAAGTGAGTTTTAAAAGTGAGAAGTGAGTTAATAGCCTACAATTTAAATTTAAACTTTTGATTATTATGGTTTATGGACAGACCAAGCGTTTCCATAATAATTATTGCCGAAAATGTGGTTTTATATCGTACGAATTTACAAGAAAAAATGAACATTTTGGTTATAAAATAGTGACGTGGATAATTAGAATTGTAATTTTGGAAACCTCTGTAATGTACTATAATATTAAAAATATTTATTACAAATATTAGTAGAATGTAATGATGTTTAAAACGACGGTTAATTAATGTGACAAATTGTCGTTTTGTCAAATTTTAGTTCCACGAAAAATAGAAGTCAACATAATAAATATATAATGTAGTATAAGTTTAATTTGATTAATTAAACAAATTTTTAAAATTGTAAATGTACAGACAGACAAACGAAAAGAAAAGAAAAGAAAAACTTTTGTAATTTATTTTACCTTACCGAGAGATGGGTTAATTACAAATTATTAATAATTATATTTTTCAAAAAATATAATAAACACATAAAATTTTTTGTATCAATATTATTTCATTTTATTTAAAATAGAAAGCAATCAATTTCGGTTAAAAAGACTTCATTTGTAAACCGATTTATATAGTAAAGTATATATTCGATAATAATCCAGTCTATGTTCCAGTCTTATTCGATATAAAGTCATATAATGAAAACTTGATCAATTAACAAAAAATACCTTATTTTGTATTTTGTCTCAACAAAATTCCAAATTATATTTTCACCCAAAAAATATTTTTGCCATTTTATATAAAATTTTTTGAAATTTATTATATGAAAAACAAATGCTTTATTTTACTAGTGTTTATTAAAACACTAAACGTCCGTTATAACAACATAATACTGACGGATAACATAAACAGTATTAAACCGAACATATGAAGAGCAACATGACAACTCTTGGTTTTTAAAATAAATATGCATTGTTTTGTCATAATTCAACACGCTCCAACGACAATTAAATTAACATTATTTCGGTTTTCAATAAAAAAGTCGTTTGCTTATAAAATAATTTTATTTTTTTTAACTTAATAACTATTTGGTTTGTTTAATACCATCTTAAGGTTTTAGACAAGAAATAATTAACAAATAGCAAAAAATAAAAGTTGTTGTTTTTTGATTTTTTTCAATATTCGATAAGAAACCTCCTTTTTATTTGTTGGTCTTTTATCGAATAAATCCTTATATCAAATAGCCCTCTTATCGAATATGGACATTTAATTAATTTTTGTTTGTTATTATCGACTATAAAATAAAAGCTGAAAGGTTCTTTTTATCAATATAAATTTTTTTAATTTTTCTTTAATTTAAGGATTAATTGAAATCCCTAAATAGATTTAAATATAATTTAGCATCGTGTTTCACAAACCGCCATTGAAAAATTCGAAAGATTAAAGAAATATTTAAGGTTATTTTATATATAGAATATTTTTCGTATTATTTTATGTTAATGATAAGTTTTATGAACACCAAACTTACAAAACACCACCTTTTATTTAAATTTCTTACAAACTTATTACAAAATGTTACAAATTAATTGATATTAAAACACTTTTTATTCATTGTTTTTAAAACAATTATAAAAATACTCAAAAAAACAAGAACAGAGTGATATTTATTGGTTTTTTATTGTTAATTGTTTTAAAAAGCAATAATAATTGGGTTTATTTTTTGTTTTTCGAATTAACAAAAAGTAAATGGATATTCGTCGACAATATTTTAATATAAATTTGTTATAATGTTTATAATTAAATAGTAAATTTATAAAGTTATAATAAAAATGAATATTATATATAAAAATTAAATAAATTATAAATATATTAATAATTATAATTAACGAAGATCCATTTACACAAAAACCCCGAAAAGCAGAAAGATTATTCAATTTAAATATTTGTATTTTTGACATCAAATTTAATTAATTAAAACTCCAAAACAATACATTAGTATATGAATAGTTCGGATTTTTTGTATTTTTTTTATCAAAAATTTTATAAATATTATGGATTTGATATTGATTCGTTCGAACATTATTGACACTATAATAAGTTTAAACCACTGGTTTCTTTTCGGTATAATTTCTTAAAATAGCAATGAATAATGAAATAACGAAAAAAGTTACCCAATTAAATAAAAAAGTAAACATAAAAAACAAAACTTCCAAAGATCAAAATATCAAATAATAATGGAATAATTCGTCCTGTATTATCAATAATCGTCTAGATAACCCAATTATTTAAATCTTTTAGTGTTTTTGGTTTTAAAACTACTTCTTCTTCATAAAGGTGTTTTTAAATTATTTTAAAAACCCATTTTTGCTTCATTTTTCAATGATTTAATAAGCACATAATTTACTTAAAATCCAAACACACAATGGGAAACGCTTCAACAACATCTTCAACTCGTTCAACACCAATACCCAAAATGCACAGAAGACATGTTAAAGACCACGTTTTGTCACCACAACAAATGTTTTGTGTTGTTGACACGATGACTCCAGACGCCAAAATTGAACCAGATGTACAACTAACCCCATCACTTGAAATAAAAAGCAAAATCCACAAAAGAACAAAGTCCGACCACTTTCTTGTTAAAAGAGCCAAAAAAGCAAACTTTTTAAAACCATTTTCAAAAGGAACAACACCACATTTACACAAGAAACAAGAAAATGTCTGCAGGTTTGTGGAAGATTTAGAAGATTTTGAAACAGCAGTTTTCAACAGAGAAAAAGACTTTGTCACAGAAGTTATCAGAGAAACTGGTAACTCTGATTCAGATGTCATTTTTGACTCAAGACTAAATGGAATGGACCAACGAGAATTGAAAGCACAAATAATTGGCAAGGAGAAGTTGTTATTTGTCTTTGTATCAAAGATGGGTGATGTTTTTGGATTCTACCAAAAAAGTTTGGTGTGTCCACAGAACAACCAAAATGTACTCAACGCGACGTCAGACAACTTCATGTTGTTTGGAAGGCCATTTTCGTGGGAAGATCCAATATTTATCCAAAAAAAAGAAACGAAAATGAATGAAGAAAAGAAGACTTTTGTTATCCACCAAGATACCCACGGGATGCTCCTCTCTTGCTTCTCTGCTTTTTGGGTTGGTACAAACGGGAATGTAAACTTTAATGTGTGCGCCAAAAGCTATTATGAAATTCCACAGACTTACACAAACCCATTTACTGGAAAATCAAACTCAGAAAAAGTGGTTTGTGAAAAGATTGTTGTTTTGAAATGTTTTTAATAATTTGAATTGTTATTTGTCGTATTTTTCATTTTTGAAACTGTTTTATGTTATTAATCAATTTAATTGTAATAATAAACAAGTTTTTTAAAACGTTGGTGTTTTTATTTTTTTTTATTTATATATAAATTATTTATTAAGTCGTACTAGTTAAATTTTTGCAATACCATAACAATATACACGTTTTTCTCGATCTTTATTTTAAATTATTATAAGCAAGTTCTTTTTTTGCGTTTGGATTTTGAGTGATATCTTTAATTTCTTTCAAACCCCCTTTTCCTATTTTTGATATCCAACTGTTTTATGTTAATTTGTTCAATTTGTTCCATCACTTTGTTAAATTAATTTTTGCTTTTGTTTGAAAATGCTTTTAAGATTTTATCACATTCATTTTCATGCTTGTTCTGTTTTTTAGCTTTTCTTCACTTGCCTTATTAAAAGAATAATGGTGTTTTTTTAGTTATTAATTATGGTTTGATTACTTCGTTTTTGTATATTATTTTTTATTTTCGATACAACTTATTATTCGTTTTATACTTAAATCGTTTCAGGGGGTAGTTGTTTTTTCTATTTTTGTTGAAATTTTTTTTATAAATGGAGTTTTGAGAATTTATATTTCAAACCACACAAAATAATTTAAAATATAAAATTTCTTTCTAACCTAAAAATGATTAAAAATAAAAATAATTTTTCATCCCAAAAATACTGATGCAATCAAAAATAGAAAAAACAGCAACCCCCTGAAACGATTTAAGTACAAAAGAAATATATAAACAATTAAAATAATTAAGTTCTATTCCTCATAATCTTTTACAATTAATATCTCTACAACCTTTTCTTACAAAGGGTGTCTCTGTTGTGTTTTTTGATCATAAAGGCAATTTCTTTAAATCCAAATTTTCTCTTTAGACATTATCGGTAGTAATTGACTCGATATTAAAACTTTGGTTTAATTATTTATTGTAAAACAAAATATCTTTTTGGCATTTGTGCTTTACGTGGAATTTGTGGTATTTTAACAGTAGTTTTTGCTTTATGGTTAAAACGTTTTTTTTAGTTTTTTTTCTTTAATTCGTTCCTTTTGAGAAAAAATAAAATTTTTTTATTGTGTGTAAGATTTTCCTTTTCCAATTTTAATAAAAGAGGTGTTATTTCATCGTTTACAAATATCAAATCGTTATTTGAAATGGTAGTTAAATACATTTTCCAAACTTACACAATTTGGTGTATATTGGATAAGTGTTTTATTTTTTAATATGCAATTATTCTTATTCAAATAATTAAACAACATTCCCCAAACCCTGTAATGCACCGAAGTTTCAATGTTTCCTACTATGTACATCCTAAGCCGAGCTCAAGTCAAACTGACATCGACTTTTCTATACTAAGACACAAAGCATATTCTGATATATTTGTTAGATCGAACAGTCGAAAAGGTGATTATTTTTATTTTGGGATCCATCAACATTGACAACTTTTTTTTGGATAAATAATATCCATAAATATTACTTATTGAAATTTCAACCTTTTAAAAATGGATATTATTTATCAAATTCGCGTTGTACAATATGTGATGAAACTTGCACTTTGTGTCTTTCTCAAAATGTATGTACAAATTGCGTATCAAAAGACTACGTTTTATACAATTCTAAGTGTGTACATTATTCTGAAATACCAAATTGTATTGAAGCTACAAATTCAAAATGTGTAAGATGCAAGTATAAAACAAACCCACTTGCAGGTATTGTTGGTTTTTAATAAAAATGCAATCATAAAAACATCCAAAAGAAATTAAATAAATATTATCGTTTTTTTAACATTTCAAGTATAGTAGAAAGCGTTATAGTTTCTCAAAAAATCTGTTTTAATCCTTCTAGGATGGGAAAGATCAAAATTAGTAAAAAAGAAAAATCTTTGTCAATTGTAATGTAAAGGGTTTCTTGAGGATAAGGTGTATCCTCGGGATCAAAGCTATCCTTATTAAAAAATATTTTTCTGAGGATACAAAAATCAAATCCATAAGGTTCAGTTCCCCATAAGGCCCACTCTCATAACTCAAGTTATAATTTACACTTAATATTTCGAGTCAAAGTTCAATTTTTAAATAATGGTAATAATTTGTCATAAATGCCAAAAGATTAAAAACAATCAAAAAATCGCCACAATAATCAGTAAACAAAAACAATAATTATATCTCGCGAACTTGAGACGGGAAATAACAAAACGTGAATTAAACTTGTTCATATTATGATTATATACTTATTGAAATTATTTCTGAATCCGTCTTTATAACATAATAATTGACATTTACGTTTAAATTGATAATTGTTTTTTTATCAAAATGAAAATTGAAAAAGTCGAAAACACCGATTTTTTAAAAATGTAATTTTAAAATAACAAATTTATTTATAATTTTGTAATTTATGCATTTATTCAAATTTATTGTAATAACAAAGTTAATCATATTGTGTATATTTTAATATGATTGTTTCATTTTGATATTAACTTGTGTTTTAAACAGATTTACAGTTCTGAGGATGGCAATTATTTTCTGAGGATGACAGAAATAGAAAGTTTACACTTTTACGTCTGTCTGAAATATATATTGAGTAAGTTACTATTTTTGAATATGGGAACACGTCATTTCACTTTTTAGATGTTTAAGTCCGTGTTGATAATGTCTGTTTGTTACACGACTTACCATCCTCAGAGATATTTATAGCACTGCCACTATTGATTTAAAAGTCTATAAATAAAATTATCAAAGAATTTTTATAAAGTGAGTTTTGTTAATTGATTATATCAAAAATCGTCAAAACACAACAAAAACGCCAAATAATATTTAAAATTGATTATTTAATTGAAGATACATTTGTTGAAATTAATATTGTATAAAATAATAATATAAACATATATTTCTTGTGTATATATGTTTTGAAAAATAAATAAAACCGTTTAAAACAAAAATGATTTTATTTTAAAAATTTGTTCATTTATCAATTGTTGTTTTATCGATCTTCAAAACCTCGCGTTTTGAATTTGCGCAAATACATAAATTGTCATCGCATAAAGTATACGTTATTAATACGTTATTTGCTATCAATTTTTATTGTTTGAAATATCATGAATTGATTTATAATAAATTGTATTTTTTGTGAAAAAGATTAAAAATTGTTGATTAATTTGTTTTGTGATTTTGATTAAAAAATCGACTTTTTCGATAATTTATATGTCTGTCAAATGTTTTCATTTAAACCAAGGTTAGTCAAGTGGTAAATCAAAAAATAGAAATAGATTATTTTTTGTAAAAATCAACTGAAAGAATCATCTTTCAAAAAATCCATAAATAGCATTTTTAAATAAAATCACGTGTTTCAAAATATACCTTTTTGATCTTAGGCAAAAAAATCCAAATTGAAAGAAATTATGTTTAAGATATTTACCATCCTCAGAAAAATTAACAATCCTCATGAATCCCTTAAATGTGATTTTTTTTCTTTAATTTTTTCAAAAAAACTAAACACCCTGGAAAGACAGTTATTATAAATTTTTATAGAAAAAATTATAAATTATAGTAAAAAATTGAATTTTTTGTTGAAGTTGGGACGAACATAAGTTCACTTTTTTGCATTATCTTTACAGAAACAAGTCACGGTTCAATCAGGGTCTATCACGTGACAAAAGTGTTTTTTTCTGTTATTAGCCACGTCATTAAAGTGGTATTGAATTTATGTACACTTAGTTCTTTTAGATCTAGCGGCGAGCTTAAAGCCGACTTTTGTAAATGAAAAAATTTAGAAACAGATAGTTATTTGAATCAATACTTGGCCAAGTAATGGGAAAACAAGCTAATTCAATTCTTAAATATCGGTTTATATTTTATAACCGCTGTGATTGCCATAATTAACACAAATATTGTGACAAATGAAGCACTGTTTTACACATCAACCCGATAGTTACAAATAACATTTTAATAACACAAATAACAATCTATTAAATAATTGTATTTTTATTAATAATATGTAATAAAATAAACCTATTCAACTTAAAATAAATCTAAAAAGCTAATAACTAATAATGAAAGTGCTATAAAAAAACTAATAATAATAAAGAAAGATTTTTAATCATATTTATATTTAACGTTACTAACTAAATATTTATATTTTAAAACTATATTAAATAATAATAATAATAATACGAACTCAAAAACTCAAAAATGTTTGTTAATTATTAAATATACTATATAACATATAATATCAATACTATTGTTTAAAACTATACAAATCGAAATAATGTATTAATAATTAATTAATACATTAATTATTAATTAGTACATGATTTATATTAATAAAACCTTAATACAGTATGTGAGAAAAGTATGTGAGAATGAGAAAACCCTGTGGATTCAACAAAAATTACATATTTGTTTTTCTTTTTTTAAATAAAAATGTTTTTCTTTTTTTAAATAAAAATGTTTTTCTTTAAAAAAAACAATCTAAATAATATAATTATGAGCTCCAGGAATGTTGCTTTTAGTGGCTTAGACCATACAACACTTGAAAAGAATTTAAAGTATTGTCCTGGTCCAGTGAAAGAAATAGCCCAAAGAACATTCAGCAAACATTGCAACTTTTGTGAATTGCCCCTGAATGTTCAGGTGTATTTGATAAATATTGAGAGAGAAATTTTCAATGGAATTAATACGGAAAAGGTGACCGAGAGTAAACTATGTAGAGTCTTTGCTTTAACTTCAAGTCAGTTTAATATCAACAAACGAAGAGGTATGGAGACGGCATTGTTTGGAAAAAAAGATAACGGAAGACCGTCACTTTTAACTGAAACACAATGGGAAATTGTCAAGAATTTGATTCTTGATAATGAAAAGTTTCCAGGAAAATGCAAAGCTATCAGCATAACTTATTTGAGGTTATTTATAATAAAAACCTTCAACATTGATGTGTCAAACCACATTATTTATGATAAAATACATAAAAATTGGA